AATACAAGTATTGCCCATTTGCGTCGTTGCGTAACACGTGATTCGCAATAGACATTAAATAGTATAATATTTTTATGGCAGTGGCTGACCTTCGCTTTTATCCATATGCCACTAAACTACAATGCCAAATTCTAGAAACTAGTAATATAAAAATAATTAAATTTAGAATGAGGGAAATTACTTTTTAACAATATTTAATAAATTTTTTACTTCCCTTCAACAGCACTTAAAAAGTATTTTGATCCGAAATTACCCACCGATTATAAGTTAAAGACAACAACAGTTCAGCGTAAGCACGCAGGAAGTTGAGAAAAGTTCATTAAAAATCAAATTTATAGCACCTTTTAAGTGTTACGGCAATAAAAGCACAAAATTGCGGCTAACAAAGTGTTGAGAATTGAAAAAAAAACAAGCAAAAAAGTACAAACAAATACGGTTAACAGCATAAATAAAAGTGTTTTGCTAGCATCTACATACAGACAGTTATATATAGACAAATATACAATTGTATCTCGCCTTATAGTACATTGCAAATAGAGGCATTTAAATGTGCACCATGGCTTGTCTGGCTCACTGAACCACTAAAATCCAATTGAACTTACATTGGCGAAGCCTGGCAGGCAAGCAGGAGAGTCATAAATTTACCATAAATATTCATTATTTTTCGGTAGAGAAGAGCAACATAACAGCAAAATATGCTCATAGACACGAATATACATATGTACAAATATTTGCACCCTTTACAAACATATATACAATATATGTACATACATATGTATATGAAGCTATGGGAGTGGGTACGGCATTAATAAACGTTTTGCTAAACCTTTGAATATCTACAGAGGTGCAGCGAGTTGACTACACTAATATATATATATCTATGTATACATGAAGTATACATATACAAGTATATGAAAGTAAATAAAACCGGAAAATCTCCCTTATATATATTTTCCTCTGAATATTTGCATACATATGATGAATGCAGACCTTTTACCTATAATCGTAGACACCACATTTGGGCCGATGAGAAAATATACTGCATTATTGGGGTAACATCTGTTGTGGTACAAATAAAAAAAAATTACCAAATCAAGAACATTTTTGAAGTTTTAAGTGGAACTCTGAACACGGACCTGTACTGTCAATATTTCATATTTGTGATTTACAATATCATATAAATGTCAAATAACACGGTATTATTGTTTAAAAGTGAACCTTTTTAGTATATCTTTTATGATCGTATGGGCACATCAGGCCCATACGTATGAGACAAATATAAACTTTAAAAGTTAAAAAAAAAATTCCAGTGTTTTTCATTGACTAGAATCAGAATTTGAGCATAAAACCAGACCGGTGTTGTTGCCCACTATGGCAATTAATTTTTCTTGTGGAAAATTCGCCTCAAGAGAAGCTAGTGAAAATCGAGTTTCTTCCAATAACGACGAGGGTTTCTATGAGGTTGGCATGATAAAATTGCTTTCAAAATGATTAAAAGAACTGGAATTTGCCAACAGTTCATTAAATTAAAAACTATAATGACGTTTCTATACACTTCAGGAAAGGCATGTTTACTCTATAAACTGACTATGCCTCAGATAACATTAAGGTATATTTGTCATCTTCACAAAAACTGCGTAAAGATAAATTACTCACATCAGCTCTGAATAAAATTGTAAACAATATACACAAATATAATCAGCTCAAAAGGCGTAACACACCAAAACATATATTTGTTTGTATATTAGGGTGTCCGTTACAGTACCAGGTCGTATGAGCAACACAAAATTTATTAGTATAAGGCACTTGTATGAATGCTTGGTACATTTGAAACCTAGATTTAATAGCGTATAACTTTTAAAGTACTGTATTTAGGGAAAATGCTAATAAAACATCTTATGTAGAACGTAAAAGTAAGTAATGCAAAATATCAAAAAAAAAATCCCATGTTACATACATATAAAAATATATACGAGTATGATATTAGGCACGGTTTAAATTGAAAATAAACATTTTGTTTAAATTGAAAATAAACATTTTGTTTACATTGGATAATTGTTTAGGGCAAAAACTGACACTTCATGGGAAAAAAAAATTCAACCTGAGAAAAAACGGGCAGAATAATATATATAAATATAACTAAAATATATATTTTGGCATTGTAATGTTTGACATTCATCAATCATGGCTTTTATTTCAAACAAAAATACATATACAATCATATCTAAATATTTTCTCTTTCGATGTGACAGTTTTTTATAATCAATCACGGTTATGTGCCAGTTGAAAAACATATACAAACAAACACAAGCTTTCGTATATTTAATGTTCAAAGGAGACATAATTTCATACACTTTTTTATGTTAAAGAAAAAGCAACGCTCTGACTCATACAAAATGCTCGTAAGGTCATAAAAATAAACACGCTGATTGCTACGTTTGAACGCAACATCCTCATTTACGCAACTCACGCATTTTACGCTCGAATTATCTAGCTTCCTTACTTGTCAACCAAGCAGCCATTATAGCCTACGAAGCCTTTGTAGTTGAGCAGATATGAATGAAGGAAGTAGCTAGGTTAACTTACGCACCGAAGCATATTAAAGTGAAAAGGGCTAATGGTGATGATTATCCTGCTGATTAGTATGACAAACGCGAAGCGTCAGCGGAAGGATGAAATAAAAATAAAGAAACAATAAGTGAATAAAGCGAATGCTGAAAAAAAGGAATGCAGAACTACGGATGAATACAAAACGAAGTTGAATATGTTAAGCATATGATATAAATATATACACAAACATAAACAGTCTATCTAGTCTGTATATATGTGTATAAGGAAAATAAACTACAAAGCTTGAAGTTGCGAATACCTTTATTAAGTTATATACGGCGTGCTCTTGATTTTCCAACGACCGATTTCGATTGGAAAACAACTGCACATAAAGCTATCTGCCACAAACAAAAATAATGTCACACACACATTCACAACGTGACAGCTTGAATTTAACATTAAACATGCAGTCGTATTTCTATTTGAGATTCAATGCAGGCAGCGGCTCACCATTCGGTACGTGCCTTTCCGATTCGCTTCAAAATTCAATTCTGCTGAATTGCAACTTAAAGTTATACAACCCAGAGCAGAACACAACAAAAAAGAGAAAACACTATAAAAGCAAATATAATCAAATAAATATAAATGAGTGTGAAAAATGTCGGGGGAAAGTTGAAATGTGTAATATTCAATATCGACGAAATGAAATGTTGCAGGAAGCAGTCTCAAAGCGTAGAAAAAGCACTGTTATATGTATGAGGTGTAACGTAAGGTGTTAAGACAAGTAAATTGGGTTTTTATGTCGGCCATTGGTCGAAGCGATAATCCAAATTTTACATACGCGCTGACTCAAACTTAATCATAGGAGGAGGAGAGAAGAAAAAGAGACGTAAAATAGGCAAAGAGAAAAAAACAAGAGTTGGTGTAGGAAAATATGCACAAGAATTCGTAATTTCTTTTATACGTTATGCTTCTTATACAAGTATGTTGAATTTAATGAATTTCGCATGTCTAGGTGCGATATAAAATAAATCTGAATTAGTTTTTTAATACTACTTATAAAATATAATGATGATTGTGATGATGAAAAAAAAATAATACAAAAACTTAAAAAAGCATTCTAAAGCTATTTAATAAAACGTCTTCCAATAAGTAAGCAGCCTCTTTTCATTTTAAATTTTTTCTTTCATGTGGTTTTTTATACTCTTGTAACATGTTGCTACAGAGTATAATGACTTTGCTCATCTAACGGTTGTTTGTATCTCCTAAAAATAATTGAGGATTGTATATAATATATATATAAAGGATCAGGATGGCGAAACGAGTTGAAATCCGTCGTTGTGCATAAAATGGTTAAAATCGGACCTAAACTTTCCTTAGCCCCAATATAATTGATATTCACGATTTTGAAACATCTGGCTGACTTGGTATGTATATCCATATATGGTATGAATATATTTATGTTTATATATATTTACAAAATTGCTTCAAAATAAGTTTTTAAGCATACCTGAGCAATGTCAAAAGTTAATGCCATCAGCCTTTCCATTTCTCTGCCCCAATGATTTTAGTGTAATTTTCGGCGACGGGAAGTAAAATATAGTAATAAAACTAAGGAAAAGTCAATATAAGTTATTACGGTACCAAATATAATTGTATACCATTTACGATTCCTCGAATAATGAAGTTGGAACTCTACGCTACATTTTTTAATATTACCAACACCTAAAGCTATTTAGCCGGTTTTGACCCATGCAAGTTGCAAGAGTATAACATGTTCGGTTACATCCGTACTTAGTCCTTCCTTACTTGTTTTTAACTACATTTTCTCTCCCAAAGTCCTTAACACTCGGTTATTCTCTGAAAAAGTCTCTAAGTCTGCTTAGCCACGTGTATGTATGAAACGCGATCGCTTTCTTCGGTTGTTATCTCTTTCATCTTATTTTTCAGCATTTCCTTATTTACTACTTTTCTGCTAGGAATATCTGCCTGTATTCAAGCTCAGCCCAATTTATTGGAAAACGATTGAAATGGATTTCAGCTAATTATGTGCAGATTTACTTTCAGACACTTTTTCTAACAATTTTTCTTAATAATTCAAGGAATTGTCGAAGCTTGTGAATTGTTCTTTATTTGGTGTTGAAATTTTAGAAAAGGGTTGAAAGTAGAGTCTTGAAGGAATAATAGATTTGGTAGCAGTAACTATTATTGTACTTTCTTTCTTTTCATCATTTATACAAAGAATGATTTTGTGCACATTTGAATAAAGTCAGTCGCTATTATTTTCTCGCAACTTTAAGTTGAATACTTATTTTTAGATATGAAATTATGTGTCCAAGGAACAACTATATACAAAATACGAAAACTTTATATAATATATTATTAATATTAACAATATAATATTTTGCAAGATGAAAATATATCTAATTTAAAATTTTTGTCTCTTTCAGAAATTGTTTTTCATGTGTTAAACTCATTTTACTAAAAAAAAAGGTGAGTTTATAAAATTAATTCCTGCATATTTTCGATAATAATTCACTTCAAGTTATAAACTCAACTTTATGTTTTGTTATTATGGTGTCAAAGTGTTATTTTCGGGCTGTTTAAGTCACTCTGAGTTTAATTTGACATTTTTTGTTTGAATGCTATGAATCTTGTGACAAAATTGTGAAGCCACACAGAGTTGTATATTCGTAAACACCAAAAAAATGTGTTACATGAGCCGATCAAATGTACGGACTCAGCACTTAGGATATAGCGTGGTATACCCAAAAATGCAAAATATCATACTAAGGGCATCTGTTGGAAAAATAATGGATTTGTTTTTGCTTGTCTTAATGTTTTGTACGAATATATGCCACATGAAAACTTGCTATCAGTATACGAAATTAATATTTTATGATTGAAATTTTTTTATAATACAAGTAACCAATCAACAAACTAGACTTGCAATCAGCACTGAAAGTTACTATGGTGACTATATAGTTAGTAAAAGCTAACAATATAATTTATATAGAGAATTTTGTTAATTAAGCACGAAATTGGGATAATGAAATCAAAAATGTCACATAAATTTCAGCAATTTATTATAGTAAAATATTATGGTAAATAATTCCATAATAATTGAGCAATTAATTAAGATTATTGTGCACAACACAAAAGAAATATTTTAATTTGTCTCTGCAACTATACTCAAGCAAGCACGCCTACATTTATTATTACACTTTCCAGCAACTACGCATTAACATGTCATGTTTTAATTGTGGTTTGCAAATGAAAATGTTCATATGCTCTTTCGGTGTGTTTGTTTGTACGCATAAATCAAGTTTTAGACACGGTGGGGTTACACGCGGCGTATGAGTGACATTAATTATGACTTGTGGACAATATTTGATTTAATTTTTTTCTTTTACTACTACTACTAATAATTAATAATACAAATGAAGAGTCATTATTTTTCTATCTCGCTTCCAACTACTTATGCCGTTTCATAGATTTTGTAGGAAATTGAACATTCAACAGAATGGTCTCTTACGATTGTTTCGAAACCTAACCGTTTAAATGATATTATTGTTTGAAATTAGAGTATTTTAACGCAATTTTTTTTTTAACTTTATAGCGCAATGCAAAAAATATTCATTTGAAATTTGCAAAACTGACATTTTCTTAAGAAAATTTACTGAAAAAAATTCGTTTTAGTCTTTATTCTAATAGTTGCCCCCAAATAGGTATGTATTATTCTCTTTAGCAAAATTGTGTTTTTAAGATATTTTCCTAAATGTGTGCGTATACATATCTATACACATAAATAAGTTTTATTTTTCTGCAATTTCGCATCGAATTTTATTCTTATATTCCTAACAAATTTTAAACTAAATAAGTGTCAGTCTTAAAGATACAAAAAGCCACGGGCTGATATTTTTGAAATAGTAAATAAAACTTCAAAACACTTAGCACTTAAATACAAGAAAAAAGTTGAGACTAAATGCCAAATTCAATCACAATTTCATATCACAACAGAAATGCAGAATAACGAATGTTTGTTGACATTTTCAGTATTTTCTAAATGACAAAATACGTGTTGTAGCAATAAATTTTATTCTTTGCGAGAGAATTTCTCAAATTGACTACAAAATAAATCAACTCATAAATATTTAACTTCATGGAAAAATACGATATATCACTTAAGCTAGAAGCAATGCAAAAATACATTTTCACACAGCAAAACACGCAAAAAACAGTGCATATTTGCTACGAAACTTAAATTTATAAACTTTGCTGACACTTTTCAAGTGACTTCTATTCAATACAAGTACGAGTATGTACGCATTGAGTATCACATTCTTTTTCTGTTCGCAAGACAATCATCATGGCATATAAAAAGTAGCGAAAGTTAGCTTTGCAGCCGCGATAAAGTCGACAAAGTCTTTGAAGAAAAGACACAGAGTCAATTTTAGTACAAAAAATGCGAAAACCTCATTTTTTTTATATTAACAAACGATGCATATGCATATGTGTATATATACCTATGCGTAGCCTTTGTTAGTAAAAAAGTGCAAAAGAACACATAGAAATCGCAGAGCGCAAACTTTTTAATATAATTTCGGCTAACAACAAATGGCAAAAGTTTGAACAAAACACTTTCGAAGCAGCAATACAGCAAGAAGACAAATAAGCGCCATAAAATATACTTCTTTCAAACATTTTTTATGCACGCACATATATTTGCAACAATACATACATACATACACGCGCTTAAGTATATATTGAAAAATTTATAGAGTAAAAATGCTGTTTCTTACACTCTCTTTCTTACTTATTTTTACGCATTTTTTTTGACATTCCTCCACTGTTCTTAAGCGCTGGCAAAACCTTTTGTTAAATGGCCCTGTTCATGCGGCTTGTCATATACCTTTTCCTTTGCGCATTAATAGGTATACTTGAAGAACTCGCCGGTATTCATTTCGGCTTGCATACTTCTGCTAATTTGATGCTTTCCTTTTTATTTGCAAAGTTTTGCGAATAGCTTTCGTTTTCGTTCTTTTCTTGGCCTTCACTGAATTTTATTTAATTTCCGCGAAAGCATTTTTTGCTCGCTTGGCTTTCACAAAAGCCATCAAGCAATTTAATAACACTCGAATGGTTAATGCGTGTGTCAGGTGTGTTTAAAATAGCCGATTTATAATTCAGCCTCTGTGCGCGTCATTTATATATATAACTCAAGTGGACAGCTTCAAATACCGAACGCTTGTGCATAGTGAAGCTCACTACATGTACGTTAGTATAAGCTTATGTGTATCTGTGTGAGGTTGGATTTTTATAAAATTTCCTGAAGCGTACTGATGTGTGTCATAAACTGTAAATACACTTTTATCTCTTATTGGTTTACTTTTATTATTTCAATCACTTACTCATAAATACACACATTTGTTTGAAGTATTTGCAGGCGATAACACTCATACGCACTGTCGCACCGGCGAGTTGACGGCACTGATTGACTTATTGGTTAGGAATTTAATGCATACCAGCTTTATAAAGCTATAAATTATTTATTACTTAGCAAGAAATGCGATTTTTAATGCTTCTAGATTTTTAGTGAAAGTAATGTAAGGGGCGTGAATTCTTTGCAAAATAGTTGAAAAGCATGTATTTGACTAAGAAATTTTGGAATATGTGACTAAAAAATTTTAAGATATAATAAAAAGAAAAAAGTTAATTTTCAGCTGCACCGAAGCTATAATACCCTTCAAAGCTGCATTTTCATATCATAAAACGGTCTTTGTCTTGTATTTGATCGGTTAGTTTGTATAGCATACCTGCCTACTATAGTGCAATATAATCGGAGATAATAATATTCTCGCCCAATTTCGTGAAGATACCTGAAAATAAAAAACTTGTCCATATGCTTGAACTTAATTTTGATCGATGAGTTTGTGTGGCAGCTACTATAATATAATATATGGTATATAAGTAGCTTCTTAGAAAGAAAAGTACGTGTCCACAATTTCATAATGATATCTTAACGACCGACGGACAGGCGGACATTTCCTCAGCCCGTCAAATTGATCCATTATATATAAATATCATGTACTTTGTATGATCTGCACCTTCTGGGTGTTATAAACTTCGTGGAGATCTTGTACTTTGTGTTTAGAAAATTTTTCATAGTATTTTCAATTTCTTAGTATGCTACTAGGCACTTCAACTTCTATTAGTTATAAATATATTTTTTTTGGCACTCGGCTTTTGTAGAACAACCGAAATTCCGAATTTTATTTCCCACGAGAATATAAAACTAATACTTAATGTCTGGTAACATTGGTTTCTGAAATATTCAGAATAATGTATTGGTTGGGCAAAAATTTTGATTTGTGTTTTGATTGTGTGATTTGATTGTGTACATATGTGTAAATATGTGTTCTACTTTTATTTCATACTCAGATATTTTTATAATTTTACGAGCAAAAACTCATATTACAATTCCATTACTTATCATTGCACTTGGTATTAGTGGAATGTATTATTTCTATTTAATTAATGTTTACAGATGTATATTTGTGTACTAATGTACATATGTAAATAATATAGTTTTATACATATAAGTATATAATTTTATTTTATGGCAACAACTACTTCAAAAACAGTTCAAAAAATATTTCAAGTCGAGCAACTTAAGATATAATGTGAAATGCTTTAATTAGAGTTTTTTTTTTGATTTAAGTTAAAATTTGTGAACAAACTAACACTTTAGATACAATGCGGAATGCTTTCGTGAACAATTATTTTTAATTGAGGTTGAACCTTGTTTTCACATTTTTTAAAATTAAGTTAAATTTTGTGAGTAACAAAAACTTTCGTGTCAATGTTTAATTTGCTGTTTACTATGATAACTTTCAAGGGGGTTGCCATTAGCAAAAAAAAACACAAAATTACATTTCTTTAATTTAGCAAATCCCTATAATTTTGAGGAAAATTATCATTATTCTTTAAATATATATCGCTAATGCAGCAACATTTTACATTGTGTCCAAAAAGTAGCAAAAAAGTATCCAGAAAATGTATATATGCAAAGAATTAACTGAATAGCACAACAATCACAAATATTTAATAAGCAATTTATGCTTAAAACTTCAAAAAATACTTAAACTGCACAAAATATGCACACACACTCGCACTTAGTTGTAAACGCCGCACATGCCCGACATGATTGGCAATTATATTTCATTGGATGCATGCATAAATCACAGCATACCTCCATTCCAATGAAAACAACGGCACATATTTGCAGGTGCCAAAGTTTTCATACAGCCCTGTCGCATTTAACCACAACACAATTCGGCTGCCGCCACTAGCACATTCGCATGCAACGATGCCATTTATGCAAATACGCACAATTGTTTGTTTCGTAAACTAATTTTACGGGGAACTGTCATGCCAAGCCATGTCATTGTATCGGCACTCATAGCAGCAGCAACAAATATGCGCATGTGTGC